TTTTTTGCAGTTTTTTTTAATGCCTACCCCAAACCATGCACTGAAAAAAAACTAGTTGAAGTACTAAGAAGACTAGTAAATTTACTGTCCATACAATCACTACCTTAAAAGTAGTTTTACTGGGTATTGATTAGATTTATTAGATAAGATTAGTAAATCTAGAATTGATAAGTAACTTTCATTAGGTATTTAAGTATCTATACAACCCCCGCTCCACGTCTAACTATCTTAGACAGTAAACAGAAAGATTACTAATCACTACAAACGCTTTACGAGGCACACTAGTTAAAATCACTATGTATTTCTTTCAGTGATGCACTTTCAAAAACGATCCCATGTCTGTCTTTGGTATTGAACTGATGATATATTCTCCTACTGTCCTAATTTAGAAACAATATTGCAGGACAGCTAAGACCTCAGTAGCTACTGGTGCCTAAATAAAAATCTGGAAGGGCTAAATATGCATGAATGTCTAAATTTGAACTGACCCTAAAAGAAATTCATTAATAACCCTAATGGGCGATCTTTGAATGGCATATATCGAAATTTTTATTGTACTTATATTTAAAAACATTTTGAAAGCAATGTAGAAATCAGAAGAGAAGGAAAAATATTGAATATTTTATATATACATGTGTAAGGCCACACGTACCATTAAAAATATTTGTTCGTCGGACCCGCGCGCTCGTATTTAAACAAAACGATACAAATAATATTAATTTAAATTTCCCGCATCATAGGAATTCTGTGCTATTTTCTGTTTCATTTCCGCTCTATTTATTGTATTTTTAATCTGCTTACTCCTTAAATCAGAAAAAATATAATTGTCCGCTCAAATTTTTTCACGCTCCGCCTAAAATAATTGGTCAGAAAAAAAGTAATAATATTATTATTTAACCGCTTGCCCGCATGTACCTTTTTAAATCAAATGTCCGACGAACAAGAAATTAAATTGGTGTGGCCTAATACCTAGAGATACAAAACATATAAATTTGAGGAACGTGTCGTCCGACTTTGAACTAGTTCATCGATCATCATCATCATTTTTATTTCACTCAAACCAATATCAGTGGTACATGAGGTACAATATATAAATTAGCGCTCTTTCTTTTTTCTCACAAAAACATTTTGTCAGTTTTGAAATTAATTAATCATTTAATATTAATTATGATACTTCAAAATGCAGAATATAAAGATATGTTTCAGATTCTTCTACTATCTATTTATGAATCTGCATGCTAAAATTTGATAGTTATTAGATTTACATCAATAAAAAAAATGCTAACGCACAAAGAATGTTATTTTACTTTTGAATTGAACATTTTTATTTGATCCACTTTCATGAATACACTGTACAATTTATGGATCTATTTTCTGGATCCCTGAGTCTCCGGTAACACTATCCACTCACTTCCAGCATTAATGGTCTGTACTGTAATGATGTATTCTCATAATGATAATCTGAAAAAGTGATAAAATTAAAATGTAATAATATTATACAGCTTTGCCTTCAGATACTTACTTAGAACCATTTCTAGTTGAGCTTGAGCAATGATGATGAATGGAAAGCATGTTTATTGGAATCAATTAAATTCCAAGAGATCTCAATGGTTAATCATTTTATTTTAAAAAGTTAACGTTTTTACTAAATGTATTATTTACATGTTTTCCTGTCTAATTCTATATCAGCTCATCCAATTTTTCCGAGTTTGGCTTCAAAGTGCCGAATTTCATTCTAAAAACAGAAGTATACAACACAAAATTGAGACCGTATTGATTTTAGATATTCTTTAAATTCAAAAAAACTTGTAATAAAAAGGTCAATTGGTTCTAGGTTTTGTCAAAACTCTAAGATTATGGTTTTCATTTCTTTCCAATACCCCCCTCCCCCAAGAAAAAATGGGGTATAGATATTCTTTTCATAAATTTACGTGCTTTAAATCTAATGATGCTTATTATTTGAACCTAGTTGGCTTAAATTAGTTCAGTGGTACCGGAGAAAATGTTAGCTGAATATGAATTTTCTTTTATAAGTAAACACTGGATGACATCAGCAATTTTTTTTTTAATTAATTATTCTACTGTGGTATATATACAATTCAGCTACCACTAGTCCACTACATAATACACTTGTCTGTATATATCACAATACTTCCAAGGTAATCCCCTTTCCTAAACTAAAATATATTAAGTACAGAGTTAACCCCCTGCCCCCCCCCTTTTTTTTACGGACGCCATAACAAAGGTCATTCCATTTTACAAATAATTCATTATAGTGTTGGTTTTCATAAATTCATAATTTTTTATGTAAAAAGCAGGTATTATCTTAAATGGTAAATAAAGATATCTATTATTATATACAGAATTTTTATTTACCCGACCATCACTCGAGTGACTTGGTAACACATGCCGTGAATACAACAAATCAAAATTAAACTAATATTTCAAATTAAATTTTATTAATTTGGGATACAGTTATGTAACTGATCATGACCAACTTTTTCACGTTAGGCCCGCAGAAACAATCTATGTTGGGGAATTTAATTTAATTTTATCATATTATAGTTTAATATCGGCAATATTATGGGGGGGGGGGGTACCCCCTCCTCCTGGTTCCTCACATAATGCATAATCTTTTCTTTTTAGTTATAAAATACTAAAGTAATGCTAACATATATACTAGTAATCAATCAGACTATTAAATTGAAATACATGTGCAAAAACACCTGCCAAGTGTTACATATTTTACTGCATGGTTAATTTATGTTATACATTCTTCACTAACTGTTGTAATGGTAAATTGTAAAAATTTCAGTCACTCACCGTAATTAAGACTCATGAAAACGCCAAAACTGAGGCTCAGACTGCTCCAAGTTTGTAATTTTCTGCTAGTCTTCTGTACACTGTTATTGAAAACAATGTAAGCAATCTACCGTTTATTCCTCCTATGTTAGAGAGCTATACCAAAGGGAGGTAATTTGAAGCAAAAGTGACAGAAAATTATGGATTTAAATCAGTTATCATATATAAATGCTTTAGTTGCCTGCAGATTTTTTTCTTGATTCTTCTAGAACAAATACTGTTTAATATATATTTTATGTTAATAAGCTTTAATGTGGTTGTAGATTTCTTATAGAGTACTTCAAATTTGCTGTTTTTTAAAGCAAAAGTAACCTCCAAAAACTAGTTTTATTTATCAAAAGGTGAAAAGAATTTCAATAATCAACAGTTGTTAAAATAGACTATTTTTATATAAATAAAATAAAAATTTAAAAAGCTTTTATTAATGACTAGTAATAAAAAAATATTTGTTTAACCATAAATTCAAGTGTCTTGATAAAGTACAAAACACGCTATTTGAAAGGCGCGTGGTTTCCATAGCAACAATGCGAAAAATTATTTTTGGCTTGCTTTTTTCTATTATACCCTTTGTTCTGAAAATTTATATATGAGTTTTAACCAAATCTGTTTCTATGCCACTTTCCACATTTTTTAACTAAATGCTCGATGCTTGCTGAATCTGACTCTTAAATAATAAAGCACCCTGCGTGGTGCTGTAGGGGATTATTATCATTTATTGTTATAGAGGGAGCTTAGTCAGGGTCCCATCCCTGGCAGCTGCCCTACTTATCAGCTGTTGACTGTTATAGGTGTGGGAAATAAATGATGAAGAAAAAAAAAATTTGCAAAAGTTTGAAAACTTCATAATAATTGACATCCCTTCTCTCCTGATTTCCTCATCGCTTAAACCAACTGTTTCTTTGCACACCATAGATACTCAGTCTGACTTCCAATTACTTAATATAAAGCACATGGATCTAGATATAATTGCCACAACATGCTTTAACGAGTATCTTCAATTAATTTCTATAACGAAATTTTCTTCAATGAAATATAAAGACAAGGAACAGTTATCAAACTCAAAATGCCAATTAAACAATACAAATCTGGAGAATAGCAAATATAGTTCTCTAAAAGGCATCAGAGATGGGATCAGGTGTCATGAAGGAGTGATCATCGCCTGTCCAATGGTCACACTCTTCGTGTGCTCCCTGGTACGATTGAGAGACGTCTGTAGACAATTCAGTGTGTAAATAGTGGCCTATGACTAAGTTTATTATACCCCCCCCCCGCTTGAAAAGTCTGTCAGTACGTCTAGCTGTCCGTCCGTCCGTCTCCGGTTACCCATCTCTTATCCGCAACTCCTCTCATAATACTGAATGAAATTTGACGAAACTTTCACAGATTGTCAGAATCTTTATTACATATTTCCATTGCAATCTCCTATTTTACGTTTTGATCCGACACATATTTTGGGTTTCCCGTAGCAAAACATGGACACTGCCATTATATTCATATGGGAGGCGGGGGTATCATTTAGTGAGCTCACTGCTTACAATACCTCTAGTTAAAGTTTAGAAAGTTGTTCAGATAGGGTCTATTTTAGGTAAATATTATTTAGAGAAAAGAGAATTGCAAACTTAATAAAAATTACCTTTATTTATTTACACCTTTCATAAATAAGATATTATTCATTGCCTTGATGGACTGATTAGTAAAATTATTCTTGCGCCCATCATTTTCACGGAATATAAAGCAAAAAAGAGACAAGAATAAAATATAGGCATTCTTGCAGAAGTTTATTCCAAAATAAGAAAAATCACATATATTTTCAAAAGAAATGTAACAAAAATAGAAAGCACTCATCAAGAGAAGTGGTTAAAGTATATTATATGAATCAAAAAGATATTCATACTTGTCAATTATATGGATCACAATAACAATGGTACAGGTACGATTAAGTTATAATAAACAGCTGAATTTCAATACCCTTCAATAAAATATTTCATACGATGAATATGTAATGCAGTATATGTATAATTTTTAAACACGGATACTAAACATTCTTATTAAAGAATGCATGTAACCGATTGTCAACGAAAATTTTCAACAGAAATTTAACATGATAAAATACACAGAAGGGGTCACTTGACCTAAATAAAATGAAAGGTAAAATCATTGAATGTTTGATCTCAAATATTTTTTTCTCATAAGTAAAATTATTCAAAGGTATAATATTTATTCAAATGTATAAATAAATATCATTTACATTTATTGCGATGCATGTTAATCTCTTTAAGTGCAGATAAACAAGTCTTTAACAATCTCATAAGAATATTGCTCTAAAGTATATTGGTGATGAAATAATATTCTAGGACTAACTTATTGCAATATTTCAGTGCTTTGAGCAACTTCTGATAATAATATACAGTAATATAGATTACTAACATCAATTTGATCACCTAATTTAAACTTGATGCTGCTGGAGTAAGCTAACGGAAAATTAAGACGAAGTGGAGATATTATACATGGACTTTACACAGAACACAGCCTTCATACCAATAAAGAAAGAACCATGGTTAGTAACTTACATTATACACCTTCACAATATTTTATAGCATGTTCATAAAGTTAATAAGGCATTGGCAACATTGTTAGATCATTCTCTCACTCAAAGAATGACTACAGCTATTTTTTATCATCCATAATTTCACATCAAACAGAGTGATAGTCCACATAAGGTAATTCACCATTTTAATTTCACGAATTCAAAAAGTAAATACTTTAGATTTAAAACATTTCTCAGAAAGCAATAAAAATATATCAGGGAATCAAAATTATAATGCATTTAGTTATAACATGTACTTCAAAAAAAAAAAAAAAATACAAGATAACATTTGTTTTGAATGACTGGGTATTCCTAGCCCCCCTGAGTGGATTTTGTTGCAAGCCGTTTACAGAATGGTACAGCCCCAGCAGCACTGTTGTGGATAGTCCGGGGCATGGACCTTCCTCTCCAGACCGTAGATCCAGTATCGTGTACTAACGTCCTCCCACGTGTAGTGGACCTCAGTCACCGGAACAGCACGCAACTGTTGTCTCTGTTAATCAAAAATGCTTTCAGACTCAGCTGTATGTCATTTTTTTTCAAATTAGAAGAATCTATTGATCATCATTATCCAAAAATATCAATATTGCATTTTTTTAAACTTGAGTGCTACAATACTGCAAAGAATCTTTCTTACGGTTATAACGTAGTTATCCTTCATTTATGGATAAACATATAAAATATATATTGTATTATGTAGGTCGTGGCCACAATCGCCAAATCAAAAATAAATGATTTTAAGAGGTTATATATGTCTTCATCGTCTTTAATAATAGCATGTTTTGGTTTAAGTACTGATAAGCTTTAATTTTCAAAAACTTCATTTCCAGCACAAGCATTATTAAACGTAAAGGAGGATCTGAAGAAAATGTTATGTTTTAGATTTATATTCCTTGAGAGATGGCATCATAAAAACAGCTGTCAAAATTTACTGAATGATAGAGGAAAGTACCTGTTTTAGCATTCTCTCATTTGGGAATGCTCCCTTGTGGGAATTGACAATCCTGATAGAATTGTTGTTAATCTCAGCGATTGGGTACGATGTTATCGGGAATACCTAGAAATAAATAAATAAGTACATAAAAAAAGTAATAAATAAATACATGTGTATACAGTTAATCTTTATTCTCTTAAAAAATCATGTTCTTAAAACACAGATAAGAAGTAAATCTTAAACAGTTGATCCGTAGTTCCATGCTCTGAAACGAATTTGATAGGAATTCATCCCTTTTTTTCAGTCAAGTATGCTACTTAACAGAATTAACTATCTCAATTCAGCTTGAGAAAACAATACAAATACTCATAGGCAAACAATTTAATACTATTATGAATTGAATGTTTACATGCTTACTTGGTCTAGAACTTGTTCAAACACCATTTCTCCGCCCACTTCTTTCACTAAGTGGTCAGGCATATCGGAACGTTCAATAATGTGCTCACCAACATGATTTGTACTGAAAAAGAACAAATTCTAATAAAGGATAGCTAAGGTATAACAAAAATTAATCAAGCTCAAATAACATTGAAATGACACATTTCGGAAGCAGAGCAAACACGGACCACTTATAACATAAGAGTTGGCATCAGGTACCATGTACATGTATTGGGGTGTAAGCATCCCCTGTCTATTTGTGATTCACCTGCCGTGTACTGTGCTCCTTATCATTGAAATCGAAATTTTCAAACGTTGATTTCAAATGAGACTACTTACGTCCTTGTTTCATCGACTTGTTTGTCAATAGTTTGTCTCGTTTAGGAAATTCTTAGTAGATTATGTTCTTTAAAATGTGACGATGTGTTTGAAATTTTTTATACAAACAATATACCGGTGGGTTTATGTATCATAATGGTGGGTTTTATGGATGTTTAGAAATTAAGAATTCTATGTTATGATATTTACAATGTGACAGTTCTATGAAAATACATATACTTACAATGTGACCGTGAGTTCTATGTACGTTTTGATATTCCTGTAACCATCACATTCATCACAAGTTATTCTACCATCACCACCACATCTATCACATCTGTAATAAAGACATATTATATAAATCTCAACAATGTTACTTTAGTTTTCAGATCCAAACGTACAGCATTTTAATTGAGCCACATGTTTATTGACTGTTCATAAGTCTTGAATGACGGAATGATTTTTTCCTTATCAAGAGAAAATAATGGACCTGTCAGATAATTTAAATTATTTTAAGAAACTCAGTGCATTTCGTCCTTACCGACATATTCCATCACCATGGCAACGGTGACAGGTTTCATGGACGGCATGACCCAGATTGGGGTCAAATCGTTCATGGAACCCTCTCCGATCACAACTCTCACACTCTGTCTGACCCCAGCCGTGACATTCCCAGCAGCGGAAGTATCCCTGGGCATCGCAACGGTGGCACGGCTGTAAAAAAGTAAGAGCGCTTTCATTTTCAAGTCTTTGCCAAGGGCACTGGCACCCCCCTGCATAATACCTTGGAGAATTAAGGGTACAAAGTGAAAATACACAAAATGATTTCATATAGATTGGCCAGATAATAAGACAACTCTCCGGATTAAACAACATATAGATGACACATCACCAGAGTTAGTCAAAGCTCACTACATGTAATTTATTTTCGGGGGGGGGGGGGGGTAGGTTTTCAAGCCTGGTAAAACCTACCCGAACGGTTGCTGTATGAGGAACCTCCATTTTCTTGACGTGCGTGTGGAACATACTGTCAGCTATACAATGGATATTCCAAGGCGGGGGCGGAGGGCCGTTTTCAGGGCCATCTACAGGGCCGCCGCGGTAAGGCACATGCTTGAATCCAGTCTTTCTTGCTTCAGTAAACGTTTCTAGGGTATACTTTAAAGAAAACAAAAATTTCTTATTAAATAACACTATTATAGTTTTCAAATCAAAATAACTACCTCTAAATGATACTTCAACTTAATTCCTTTAAATGGATTTTGGAACAATATAATGCCAACTATTTTAGAACCTAGTATCTTCAAAATTCTTTCAGTTCGGATTGTAACGTACATGGAAGGCGGTAAGACCATGATGGTGGGTGATGGTCATTTCCTGGGCAGGTTTGGCTCCATAACAACAGTTTTCCGATACGAAGTCAAGCATAGCTTGTCTACATGCCGCCTCGTCCAAATTAGCTATGCTGAAAAAAAAATGAGCATAATACTTATTAACTCTACCAATAAAAAGTTTTTAAGTTTGATTTTATTTCCGTATGGGTGAGAAGAATTGTTTTTGATTAAACAAAAAACAAGCAAGTTTAGCACTCACTCGGAAAACTCCATTGGTGGGGGTGGGCCAGAAGGTGGTGGGGGTGGCGGTGGAGGGGGCATAAAATTCACTGTAAAAATCATAATTATAAGTACATCGTATATACAGTATTTGCATGTCGAGAATGATAAACTTTAAAAATTGTGCTACAAATTCAGTTTTAATAGAATATATCAAATATTTGTGAAAAAAGAACATTCGTACTTCAAAGATTCATGAAAAAAATTAAATAAGTTATTACTGAGTTAATTATTATTATGGCTAAGTTAACTTATATAAATTAATGTATGGGTTTACTTTGCCCAAATCCCCCGACTTGTTCGTAGCCTGCAAACTGCGGCATGCCCTGCATTGGGGGAGGAGCCATTGGAGGAGGTCCCCCTCCCCCTCCCCGTCGAGGGGGGCCATTTCCTTGCCTTAAATCTGCAGGTGGCGGGCCACCCATACCGGGGTGCCATTCTGTGTAAATGCAAAAAAAAAGTTTAATTTACTTCGCATTTTAAAATTACTAATGAATACATACATGTAAGTGTAACAATCTAAAAAATCTGAATTCTTAGATCCCCGCCGTATACACTCTTCGAAAGAGTGCATACGGCGCGGATCTATGAAGTCTAATTTTGATTAGATTGCAGAGTATGAATGTCATTAATAATTAAACTTGAAATATTTATAAATAAATTAATTAAATACTTCACCTTGAATCTAAAACATGTGAATAGATACTACCAAAAATTATTAAATCTGTTGTTTTTTTTATTTAATTTATTTTATGGCCCGCGAGATTGTTAGTTTTTAACTTACGTTGAGGTGGTCCTCCGACTTGACCTGCAAAAAATTAAATAAAAATCGTAAATTAAGTTATTTTAATATTTAATTCAAAAAGAATTTAAACTTAATTTTCAAACAAACCCCTTGGCACGTAAAAGAACGTTTCTCTGGTTTTTTGAAAAAGAGTAGGCTCATTTAAAACCAAATATTTAAAAAATGATCATACTTGATTTAATCGCCGAAATATGGCTGAAATAGTGCCGACTCAGCGTTAAACAATAATAATCAATCAATCAAGACAAGAAAAATAAACAAGAAAAAAGTACTAGTAAATAAATAAATATAATAATAAAATTATAACGATCTATCTATAATTTTTAGAATTTAATCTTTATATTTTTTTTCTTTTTATTTAATTATTGTTGTTTTGAGGAGGGGGGGGGGGGGGTGTCGGAAAATGTTCCGACTTTCATCATGTGTAGTCACTTCTGTAAATTGGATATGCTAAAAATCGCTATTGATGTGCTTGTGGATCTTTTATACCTCATATACCTACCTGTGTAATCATATTTATTTCTGTAAAGGTGAACATCCATTCCATCTAATTAATTAGCGAGTTTTGAATGAAAACGCAATATTAAAGAGATAATTTCTTAATAAATCTTTATTTCGCATGTTTGTATCACTTTAAGTTTCTCTAAACTAATATTTTAAAAATGACTTCCAAGGGAGATTTGGGAGAAAACCCAGACTTTGAACCAGAAGGTTGTTCCATACAAATAATTAAAGCTCTATACAATGCCAGCTAAAAATATAATCTTTGAAAAGATCGGTGCATGGAATTTTGAAATAAGGAGTTGTTAATGATTTCGTCACAACACAAACTTGGTTGTTTTTAAACTGTGTGACGTAGATACCAAGGGCTTAAAGTTTAAAAGGTTAACGATTCGTAGATCCAGTTGGTTTTATAATACATGAATATTATTATTAGTTTTTAAAAGAAAAAAAAATAAATATATGTACATGATATGAGAAAGAGTTAATAGAACACAGGGATTATAGATAGAATAAAGTAATAAATACCACATACGCACACTTTAATCCTTAATAATTAAATTATTATCCAAAATTCGGCATTTCAAATTAAAATTGTGTTGGAAAAACTCACAACCTTAAATGATATTAATTTTAATTATTTCAAAAAAATAGTGAATTTCTAAATTACATCACAGGCACTTGTATCGGAACTATGGGTTAAATTTATTTCCGAAACAAGTGCCTGTGAATTACATGTATACTTGTTTGAAATTAACTTAAATTACCTTCAATTAAATTAATTCACGAACTTGTATATTATCGTACATACATGTAGTATATGGAGAAGAGGGTTGTCTCTCCCCTCCCCTCGTTTTTTTCCCTCAAAAGTTTGTTCAATGAAAGTAGACCCCCCCCCACCCTCAGCAAGCAATTTTTTTGATGGAGTGTACACAAATCTAGTTGCGAGAAAATGCTTTAATGCATCTTTTTCTCGAGATTTTTTCTTGAACATGAAAGTTAAAATTTTTTCAGGCAAGTTATAACCTTTTAAGGTACAAGAAAGTTATATTTTTTTTCTCTCTGCTGCCCCACTCCCTTTCAAAAACGATATATATACATGCCCGTTGTTGTGCACGGAACAAGCAAGAAAAATGTACTTTACTTTATTATTACATTATCGGAATCAATACAAAAGTTTCTTCAAGAAAATAATTTAAGATTGAAAAATATTTTTTTTAATTTACAATAATGTAAAATTAATTTCAAAAGACAAATATTGGGTCAATATTATGGTCTTCAAAATGATTTTGTAAAATCATGTAATATAAATGTGCATGTTGAACTTAGAATGTTTGCTTTGTGCACATTATTAAAAAAGAAGTCATCACCTATTGATCGAGTTGAACTTTTTTCACTTATGCATCGCTTAGAATGTTCGTCTGTTCATTCAAATGCATGCATACATGCAACACAGTCAATACATGTGCAACAATACAGGTAAAACTAAGGTACATATATCTTTACAGAGACAAAATTTTTGTTGAAAGTGATTTAAACAAAATCTTTATAAAAGTAAATCTGTTTTCAGTCAAATATGAGATTAAAGCTGGAATAAAACATTTTACCTGGATGCGCCATGTCAGTCTATCCCGTTACCAGCGACGCTACCATAGCGAAGGACATCAATATTATGAACGGGTATATGTACGGCGCACTGGAATTGCCATAGTTCTATAAAAAAATCCACCAAAAAATAACCATGTTGGATTTTAAAAAGCGTTTTTAAAAACGTCATAGCAAGTACATATAGGTAACAACACTCTGTATTTCGAAATGTCTTCTTAAGGAAATAATTTAATGGCACTGTAAACGAAATTTGATACTAGTACTCAGCAAAAAAGGCTTTTTCACTGCTAGTTAATTTATCACTCATAGACTTAAATCTGATCAATTTCTGTATCGATTGCTTGATTTATTTTTAAAGTTGAGACTCTTAATAGTGTGTCTTTATGTTTACCTGAAAGTCTAGAAAAATGTTCTTTACGTCCAACGGACTAGGTTGTGCCGTTGAGGGCCTTTCCCAATAGGAAACGACATCCTTGCAATGCCGGGGGTCCTAAGTCAAAACGTTGCAGTTGGACCAACGGCAACATGTTGACTCTGGACCCCTTGCATTGCGAGGAAGGATATACGGTTAGATTTATTTCTGTAGAGATTCTGCTGGGCTAGATATTTGGTCTAACACCTACAGGTACGCGTCAGACCAAATATCCAGCCCAGCAGAATCTCCGACGAGATTACTGTCAGATTGTTCTAACTATCCTAAAAATTCTGAATTTCTCAGACAGTATCCCCTCTAATCGCACCTGTGAAATGATTAAACTCTGAATTCGTATCCATAAAAATTCTAAGAATTTTCTGAAGTATATGCTATTTAAAACCCTGAAGTATATGCTATTTAAAACCTCTAAGCTGATTCTTGGCTATTTGCATTACGATCACAGAGTTATCTCTCATTGTTCACCCAAATAAGTTGTTTGTTGAAAATCTTTAATAATTTTAATTTGAAAAAAAAAGTTAACATTTGAAAATCGACTTGGAAGTAGACGACAGAACATACGTAAAACTATCGATGACAGTTCTTTGTAAGCCCCGATAAGCAGCAAAGACATTCATTTCTGTATCACGGAAATGTACACTAAATTTTTAACCCGACAGTGTAATAATAACACAATATATTCAATTCAAATTGATTCAAGGAATTTACAATAAAAAAATGAAACAGAAATAATGAAAAGTAATTGAAATGAATTGTAAAACTTTTTTGTGCGATTAATCTCAAGACTGCGTGACCGAAACTCCGTCACTGAATAGAGCTAGCACAGGCGCCTGGAGTGTGGATTGTCCCCTCTCCCTTTTATTAAAAAAAATTGTAATAGAAATAGTATCTCAAAATATAAAATTTCCACATCGACCACATTTATATGTCGCTCTGTGCAAAAAGCTTGTACGTACATTTTCTTACGTTTTGAGACATCCTCGCAAGCCAGCAGAGCTAGGGGTCTGGACTCAACACGTTGCATGTAGACTCCAGGACTCCTGGCATTGCGAGGATGGATTAGAGAATGGCCTTATACGGTACATACATATAATAAATTTTAAATTATTTTACTGTAAAAGGCCATTCTCTAAAGGTGAGAAAATGTACAATCTGTTTACATTGAACAACATATAGATGTGATTGACAGGATTTATTATTTTTTTTTTATATATTTTATCTCTTGCAATTTTTTTTTTTTAATTAAAAAAAAGGGGGCAACGATCCACACTTCAGGCGCCCTAGAATAGACAACTGTTAATATGTGAATGTCAACTAGGATGCAGTACACGTGTTACAGTAGCAATAGTACATTCGTTACAGTGATGTTTACAAACGTCTGTTGACAGCTTGTATCAGTATCATGTGAGACATCAAAGCAACATACCGGGTATCTCATGTTCCACCTAGTGTATGATTAACATTTTTCATTCATTCATTTTATCTTGTGCGCATAGCTCTGGAAGAGCAATTTTGTCATTGAAAATGTTTAACAACTGTCATTTTCTTAATAAAAATAATTTTCATTTAATCATTTTTTCCAGTCTTTATTAGACATAGCGTTTGGGGATTCCCTACATATAAATAAATTGAAATGCCAGACTTACTCCGTAAATTTAGGAACTCCCTGATTTGACTCAGTTCTTGAGTCATGCTTCCAGATGATGAAACTTCTTGTTGGGATTTGGATAATAAAACACTATGAATGATTCGATGATCTTGTTTATTAAAGAAAATACCGGTATTCCCAGTAAAAAAAAATTATGATACAAATGTAATTTGCACAAAATCATAACAGAAACACATATCAAAAAGTAACAAATAAATGTAACAAATAATTTGTATGACCCTTTCCCCTGCTTTGGTGGAAAGAATTTTCTATGAATGTCTTAAATCATTATTACGAATACTTAGTTAAAGGTCCAAGTTCCAAAAATATTTTCAAAATAAACATGACAAAGAAGAAGAAATATTATGTTATGATATAACAGTAATTCTTCCTTATAAGAATGTGTAGAAAACAAAACATAGAAACGTTTGGAAGACAAACATAAATAACTGTTTAACCCTTTTCATTTTGCCGAGAAAAATATGAGCAAATATTTACAAAAACTCATCTTTCATAATGTACAATTTTATGGAATGTGTACACTCCAAAATTATTCCCCAACATATCTTTTCTTTTTTCCCATGATCCACTCTGATTACCCATAGTCCTCTACTTCCTCTCTCCCATGAGCCTCAGCAGATGAAGGAACAGGTTGATGACATCCAGATAAAGGTTAACAGAGGCCTCAATGTAATCTTCTGGAGACAGTTTGTGCATCATCATACTCGTGTCAAATATAATGAAGAGAGAAAACAGAAGGGCTCCACCGGCTGCTAATAGTCTGTCCATCATGACGGTGGGGAAAAATAACTAAAAAAATTATCACAAATCAGTCAAACAATTTTTTTTATCAGAAATAATTTTTTTTTCATTCTTTATTTAAAAATCAGTTTTAGAAAGTTTTTTTTTTCAAAAAAGAGAGAAAACTTTAATACCTGAAGGAGTCCAGCAAAAATCAGAATACTCAGGCAAGCAAACAATCTAAAAATTTTACAAGATACATGTATTAGATAATTCTTCCTCATTGTCAGGAGAGAGAGTTTTTGGATATTTTCACTTGGTATTTTCACTCAAAAAAATACATGAACCAGAAATACTGTCCCACTAATGAAATACATTACAACTACAAAACACTGAACACACTGAACAAGCATCCAATGAAATGTACATTTTTACTAGAAACTGCAGCAGTGTCTATTAACATCTACTTTGTCTTACCCCGCTCCCCAGGAGCTGAAGTCTTTCTTGCTTTGTAGTGTGTACATGGTCAGACTGACTGCTACCACCAAGGTCATCAGAAATGCTTCCAGCACACTGTGTACTTTGTAGAATGTCACTGTTAGAGAATAACATTCAGAAATAATTAAACAACTCTGGAGAAAAACTGCTGTTGCTTCTGTAAATAATTTTTTAAGAGGCAGTTCATTATTTATGTTGCATAAATTTATTTGAATAAGGTCTTATGTTTATGATTTCTTTGCTTATTTACTAGAGATCAGAGATGGTGTATATGCTAGTAAAAATTTCCTTCTCACACATTTTATTTATAGTTTAGATTATTAATACATTTAAATCTATAACCAGAATTCATGAAAATGTTGTCTTGCATATAATATCTTTCTTGTGAAATTATGTGTCGTGAAAAATCAAATGATCTGTAACTGCTGATACTTACCAACGGTACCAACACAATAAGCTTCAAACACAGTCTGTAAAAGTAAAATATACCGTAAATGTATTATATTTAGCGTGTACGATATTTGGCGAAAATTGATTTTTAAACACATTAGCGTAGATCTGAATTAGGGCAGTTCCTAATGTTCTCTATTCTGTATATATGTGAAAGACATTTAGCATTGTACTTGAATTAGCGGAAGTTTCTTTCCGCCAAAAGCGCTAAAAAGAATACACAGCCAAATGTAATATGTTTAGAGTATTTCCTTTAATTTACAAAGTTCAAGATTTTACTTTTTTTTTTTTTTTATACATGTATCTACCATATGAATTACATCATGTTATAAAATATTTTACAATTATAAATATTAACGAAAACGCATGTGCTTGAAAGAAAGTTAATTTATAGCAGTGACAAAGGAAAAAAAATGTTGACTACAAAACATGCATTGAAATGTTATAGTTTATGGATGAATTCTTGTGTATACTAACAAACAGTCCCAGAAGAATGTAGTTTGTCGGGGTTTTATGTTTATACACCATCAGAGCAATCACCAGTCCAATACTGCCCACCATTGCCACCAAAAGCATCCAGGGACTGAAAGAGAAAGAGAAAGAAATGTGAAGATTTCAAAGTTCATATTGTATGTTTTTTAACAAAAATGATAAACAGAACTATGACTCAGGTCAAATTTAAAATGGGAATGAATACTGTTTGCAAGTGCAAAAAGGTAATTTAAATAAAAAATGGGGCGAATTATTTTTATTGATGAAAAAATTTTAAGTCCAGAGCTCCGCATTTTTTCCAGATGAAAAATATTCTAAGTTAAGAGTTCAATATTTTTCCAGATAAAAAATACACTAAGTCCAATTCTCCATAATATTTCCGTATATTTTCCAGATCATTTCCATATATTTTCTGCTTTTCCGTCCTCACCAATTTAAAATGGGGAAAAATATTAAACCCTGGGCCTGCTTCAACCTTAATTCTTAAAATGATTTCTATGGATTTCTTGCTCTAGCAATGCAAACATTATATTTACCTTTGCTGTACATAATTGGTGACCGTTTCACTGGACATAAACAAAGCACTGACGATAGTAGTCAGTAGAAGCTGGGTAGACAAGATTCCATACACCTTCCTCAGAAAGCCTTAAATGTACAAAGACATAATCTTTGTGTTAAAATTGAACTCTTTGCTGTAATGATGAGGCCAGTAAGGACAAGCATGTGATGGAGCCAATGCCAAGAAACTGAAGACTTTACAGAGAATTTTAGCATTAATTAGCTCTTTTTGAAACTCCATTGTTTCAATTCTACTGCATTTTTGTACAGTACCTGATGAAAATTTTCCATATATGCACATTTTTATGGTATATTTTGAATATGTGTATATACACACATTTTATGGCATATATTTGTTAAAGAATATATGTAGTTTAAAGCACACTTTTAACAAATTGCCAGGAACCAATGATTTTGCTCTTATATCATTGTATATTAAAAATAATTGGTTACATCTGTTAAGTTCACAATAAGATTAAAGAATCTCTTTGCTGCAAGTGTCAATTCATTATTACAATCGTGTTTGCTATAAGCATGTTGAACTGTATTTCATAAACTGATCTTACCCATTCTGATGTAAACATGGGCAGTGGCCACATTGGAGCCATACATGAAGTCATCCACTATGGAATGCTTCCCAAACTCCTCACTTGTCGGTTTCGTTGCCATCTTTATTCTAAAAATAAATAATGATACAAAATAATGTTATCTAAAATGTAAAACCTCTTTTTCTCCTGACACTACTTAAAATTCAGATACATGTAGCAGAGCCAATATACGCAGGATCTGCACTTTTTTAATCAAAACTTGAGGGAAAAAAAGATTTAAAAAATAAAAGAAAAAAACAAGAAAAATATATAAACAATCATACAAACAGACCATCAACATCATTCAGGAATGTGGACCCCCCTCCTCCCCACAAGCAAACACAAACCTCTTGATAAATGCACAGTGACTGTTAATAAAGTGAAACAGCAGCACAGTAAACAACACAGAACAAGTACACTGAGATTTTTGGTATAAATTATTCTTCTACATTTTAAAAATCTGAAATAAAACTTAAGCTTTTTTTCAATATAAAAAAAAAAAATCTTACTGTGTTTCAGAGTTATTTTTTTCATTCGTCATTGTAGGTTAAACAATAAGCCATGAAGATTTCATGAAGTCCTTGGTGATCAAAATGATAAGTAGTATACAAGAAGAGATAAGGCCTATAGGTACATGTTGTATATAACAATTGGCAGTAGTGGAAAACTACAGGGATATTATAATAGCATTATAGATTTGGAATAAATGTGTAGGTGGTATAAAACTATATTGCTGATCAATCCCAATATTAAATATCTTGCACATGTGCAAATTAAAGTCAAGTTTGGGCCTGTTTTGAATATGATAAGTAATGGGCTGACGTAGAGAATATTTGCATAAACATGATAAAGACTGATAAATTCACTTTTTTATAATTTTATTCAACATGCATGAAGCATAAATATCAATTGTCAAACTTATCTTATTGTTTACATATAGGCATGATATAAATATACCAGTATAGTGAATTTTATTGATTCTCTACACCTGTCACTTGACATTGTCATACAAGCTGTGTGTTATGGAAAAATATAATTTTTACATACTAGATGTTTTTTTTTAGTCATTCTTGTATCCATGCATCAATGATCTTACATATAATATCATTTTTATTTTGAAATGACATTGAATAGTTTCTCTTCTTTTTATTAAGATTAACATATATACATCAAGCCTGGCATGATCTTCAACATTTACTAATGTAACAAAATTAAAACTATTAATCAGACATGTCCATGAAGAATATGATAGTCTAAGAGTATTAGAATAACATCATATCAATAATTTATATATCAAACAGTGTTAATTATAGATATTGCCCAACTGAAGCCCAAGTTCATTATATTTTATAAGTTCAATGTGTTATAACATCCAGCAATATTTCCAATTGGTCACGAATTAAAAACAACGCACAATTCCTCATTGAAGTCATTCATGTACAGAAGAGTCATACATGCTCATACAAATGATTGGTATCTACACAAATGGTAATAATTTCAGTTCTTATGTTTTAGGAAAATATTTGATGTGTACTGTTATTATTGAAGGTTTAAAATTACAAATACATATATCTATATTGTGTGTACGTGTACAGTATGTTGACACTTCCTTCTATTGATTATAAACATTGGGTATTTCCAAAATCATCAACATCGGACTTGCATGAAAAACAGGATATGTTGTTATACTTAATATAACATGTGATGAACATTCAACATAGTTCAATGTCATAACACTAGTCAGAGATCATGAAGATAAAAGAGAAAGTTGATTAATTTTTATGATTGATTTAAAATCTGATCATTGACAATGAGTCTTAACACTTAGCTAACTTTATAAAATTGAATGTTAGTTAAACTTTTTCAAAATGTTATTAAATGTAACGCCAATTTAAAAGTCGCAAAAACAAGATAACAGATCAGGATGTAGCCCATTAAAATTTACAGAATAAAACGACATTTCCCTGTGGCCTGTGTGGATTATACATTAAATTTTGTACATGCATGCTCTTACACTTTTCTAGAAGTTGTTGAGATATCTGAAAATACCTGTACGAATAGATCTCGTGCATAAACTCACCACTATCACTTTAGATGGTAACTGTTTAGAGAACACGTAAATCTGTTTCTATTTTGGGAAATGACGAACAACACCAAACGGAAGTGCATGCATCCAAGATCCGAGTTCAGGTTTTAATCGACTGACGCAATCAAGAGCTCCAAAGAAACATCAATAAGTACATATATAATTCCTTTATTTTGTTTGCTAGATATAATACACAAATTTATGCCTCAAATGACGATAATTTTATTTATCACTAACAAAGCGTAGTAATCTGACGATTTCCGAACCCGATGTAAAATTGTTATCAAGGAGGGCAAAGGACTACATAGCTCACATTCATAAGGAGCTATGGTCTTACCAATAATTTATCATCGAGTTTATAGCAAAGTTACTTAAATTTATTAACATAAGTTAACATATAGTTACTCTCCTATAACTTTAAATTGAAAGGATATAAATTAATCTTATAATTAAATTCTTTAAGTTACCAAACTGTTTATATTGCATATGCTTTCATGAGCAGCATCACACCTGCAGCATGTCTTCAGCAAACAAAATTATTCATGGAGATAAAATCATTTGCTCACGTTGAGACAAAACCTGATTTCTTATGTGAAGAACAGGTTTAAAACTAAGCCTTCTAAGAAATTCACCTGAGCATTATGCAACAACTTTCCAGTGAAATTTGATAAGTTTTAAGCCAGCCTAAATTATGGTATTCAGATTGACCCAAAGAGAGAGGAGTGAAATGAGTCTATATTTCTAGTGCTGTTTTTATGCCATATGTACTAAGGCTACAGCATTCCTGAATTTTAAAACTTAATTTAGAACTTCTAGCATGTACATATATATTTTTGTCTATGCTTTTTCATTCCATGGCAAATTCCACTACTTCTGATCCTCTTCTGTTAAGGTTATATGATAAATAACTAGAAATATATGTCCATAGGACATGCCCTGCTAGTGATGCAGTTCAGTTGCTTACATTAGTATGTATATCAGCATATGAAGTTGTAAAATATTATGAATGGTTTATTTAAAAATGACTTAAACACAATTTGATTAAAGTGAGGTCAAGGTCAAATGAAGGTCAAAGTAAATGTTGATGAAGTTGAATTACTTACATCAATATGTATTAGCATATGAAGTTTGACAATGATTTAGGATGATGTCAAGGTCAAATGAAAGGTCAAAATGCTGATGCAGTTGAATAGCTCTAGTATGTATCAGTTACAAAGTTTGATAAAAATATCTTGAATGGTGTCTTAAATTTGAGCAAAACATTAATTTAAGAAAAGTGAGGTCAAGTTCAAAGGAAAGGTCAAAAATGGTGATGCAGTTGAATAGCTCTCATCAGTATGTATCAACATGTGAAGTTTGATAACACCATCTTGAACAGTATGTTCAAAACTGAGCTAACCACTGATCTAAGAAAAGTGAGGTCAAAGGTAAGGTCAAGAAATGTTGATGCAGTTGCATAGCTCTCATTAATATCTATCAGCATATAAAGTTTGATGAAAATATCTTGGATAGTTTGTTTGAAACTGAGCTTATAACTGAGCTAAACGCGAAGGATAGACAGAAGGACGGAAGACGGACATGACAAACACTATATGCTCTAGCCATATTCATGGGGGGCATATAAATGAGGTCAATGTACAATGTCTGTCAATTAATTTTCATTGAGTATCTTCAGACATTTAAAAATAATATTAGTAAAAATAATTTCACAAGAATAAATACTCTTTAATGCAATTATTTTATTTGCAAAGTGTGACCACAGACTGTTGCAATTTGCATTGAAGGAAAAAAAAACAATCAAGAAAATAATGATAACATTCAACCCTTTTACAGAATTTGCTAATGGCAAATTTTGGATTCATTTATCCAACTTGAAAACAAATAAATTTTTTATCAACATTTGATTTCTTACTGCAGAATAAAATGGAATACAGTCTGAGTATGAACAAATAACAAGAATCAAGTAAAATATCTAACTCTATAACTTCAATTAAATTACAAATGTATAGTTCAATTTTGAAGCCAAATTCTTGTTGTCCAAATAATAAGGTATAAAACATATGCATATGGCTTGTGGCATGAAGAGCAGAAAGCAACAACAGCTACATAACAACTAACATCAACATATTACACGGTATCTGCGTTTTAGGTCTTGAATTTGCAAGGTATCATATGATAACCTACTAAGTTTTAACTTCTTCAGTCTAATTGAATTTATATAGAACATGTCAATAATAATAGGATAAAATTATTTATGGACTAACTTTGCAAAAAGTTCCCAATACTGAAGAACAGGTGTTATTTTTATGTAGAATACTATAAATTTTAATTATTCGTGTAGGAGTTTGGGGGCAAGGTTAATTTAGGCATAAATATACATTAACAAAACTTCATTAATTATATCTGAATTATCCATATATAACCCTTCTACGATGTTTATTCCACAAATGAAAGGGTACAATAATTATGCAATGTGTAACTCACAATACAAAAAAAAGAAGACAAAACTACACAGTCAAATACCAAAGCTATCATGAAAAAAATTAAATTAACATCATTGATGTTCCTTCACTCGTAAAAAAAAAAGAAAGAACGAAAGATACATAGGTTTTTCAAAAATATGTATTTTGCAAAAGTTTTTGCGCGACATTCTAATCACGCCTATTTTCCCGTTCCCCACGCAGTTTCAGGAGGCGCATGAAGAGAGCGACCATGTCTAGGTAGAGGATGGCAGGGGCGATGATGAACTCGTCAGGGGTGAGTCGCTCCATGATCAGGCCGGTGTCATAGATGATGTACATGCAATATAAAACGGCCAGACCCACGGAAATCAGGCGATCCATAGCTGCAGTGGGAAAGAAGAGCTGAAAATGTAAACAAAGTACAAAATTTATTTATAGTAGGTTTAATACTGAAATATATGACGTGAAAAATTTATTAAGCATGCACCAGCATCTGTGCACATAAAATCTTGATGTGTGTGATACTAAAGTTGACCTTGATCTGAAAATTATAATTTTTTAGGAAATGCTTTTTTGAAAAAAAAAATCAAAATCTTAAGTATTGTGATGTTAATGGAAATGGTTTTATCACAACCCTAGCCTAGAATTTTTATTTCTTTGGAAAATATTATTACAAAATGCTTATTTTAGAAGATTTACCTGCATAAACAGTGCTGACATCAAAATACCAAAGAGAGAGAACATCCTGTAAATAAATAGGTTATAATGCAATCGAAAATAAATACATGTACCCGGTACTTAGTGTATGATGGAGACTCATAAAATATTTAAACAAGGCAGCCATTCCAAATGAACATTTGTTCAAGAAAATGATAAGCTCAAAAAAGATACATAAGATATTTCAATGTCCAATCTTAAAAATGACAATTGGAAAACCCTCTTCAATAATAGAACATTCTCAATGCACTCATTAAAAATTCCTTTATATCTACCCAAATAAACAGACATTGCTTGGTTTAAACCTTTCATTAAATATCTCTGTGATGTTTGAAAATGACAATTACAAATCATATCTAATACTCACCCAGCTCCAAATCTGTCAAAGTCCATCTTGCTTTGGAATGTGTAGGCAGTAAGGCAGATGGTTACTAACATTGTCAGAAGGAAGGCATCTATTACACTTGCCACTTGGTAAAATGTCACTGAAACCCCAAAAATCTTTTATAAGAATCAATGCAAGGTAAACAATTGGCATATATTTAATATAATTTTTTTAAAAAATATTCAATGCTAAACTTACCAACGGTTCCAACCATAAAGGCTTCAACTCCAGTCTAAAATACAAAAAATAACTTTTTAAATATTCACTGCAAGTTTTACTACTTCCCCCCCCCCCCCCTTGCAAAAAAAAAAAAAATGTCTGAACCAAGAAAAAAGGCACAAATCATGCTTAGTATGACTTATGCTTAGTTCAAGAAGACTTGATAGCCTTATAACACTATATATGTATAACATTTAGCCTGATATATTTTTCCTTTTTTTTTAATGACCAGTACTAATACATTTTTTAAATCACTTACAAATGCTGCCAGAAGCATGTAATTTGTTGGGGTTTCATTCTTGTAGGCCTGAAGGGCAACAGCTAGAGCCAAACTGCTGATCAAACCCCCTAACACCAGCCAATGACTACAAAGAACAAGAAAAAAAATCCTGGTTATACCCACCTTGCAAGTACTGTTACAAGTACTGTTACAGTACCAAAATCAAAAGAATCCAACGATTTCAATATTGAACTGAAGACAAGCAATGTAATATTTACTTACTTGGTTTGTACTATGTATGTAATGGTAGTGCTCCATTTGAAGATGGCTGCCGTGACAAACGTGAAAAGAAGCTGGAGTGACAAAATCCCATAAACCTTCCTCAGGAAATCTGAAGAACCAATCAAATCATTTCATTATCATATTCTGGACTTAAGAGTTTTAAAAATAACATATAAGGTGAATTTACATAAAACCTTAGTTACAATAAAGTCACTTGGATCTATGAAATTACTTCGCTATATCCGTAATTCATTATATATCGAGTTAAAGAATTCCTTATATCTATATAGCTGCAAGGGTCGATCCATAACTTTGCTATATATCCTTGAATCCACAAAATCCATGTTCTGTAGGTACATGTATTTGCTTTTACTGATTTTAGTGTGACCGGGTGTCAGGTGTGTATTGGATAAGTTCCCAGTCAGAGAGAGAGAGAGAGAGACCTGTGAGTGGGGCACATGTGTGTCAGCACGACGTTCCTCGTCTTACCTATTTGGCTATTTTGTATTTCTGTCAGAAATTGTTGTTAACTTTGTTTGCCATTTCAATATACATGTATTACAGTTTATCATTTATTCCTGTCTCTCATCCATTTACATGTACAGAGTCTTACAAATCCTAGTAAACAAGTTTTTACTGTTATAATTTGAAACCAGGAAGTTGATACAAAGATACTGATTATATATGCATATAACTACATGTAATCTAGAGACTCATCATTTATATTATTATCTCTAGTAAAGAAGACAGATTTTTCAAAATGATAAAATTTAACCTTGCTGATAACAGTTTAATATAAATAAATATGTTGAGTTATAAATAAGGAAGATCTCTGTTTACTGAATTTACTCTAGTCAATAAAACTGAACATTTTTTGTAACATATGTAATGATCAGGTATATAGTTTTATTGCAATGATCAATATCCATATTTACTAACATATTTATCATTTTATCAACTGTTATGAAAAGCTACCATGGAGAATAAAGTGTTCAAAAGTTAATTTCAAATAGAGATAAGTATATAGATCTTTTTAAAGCAATTTAAAATGATCTCTGTTTAAACACAATGACATGCAGGGTTGATCCAAACACCTGGGGCTGGGACCCTCCCCCCCCAACAAAATGATGTAATCTCCTGGCGTTCTTCTGGTATTACCCCTCAATCTCATATTAAGAAAGGAACTCCAGACCTCCTTTTACAGGTAACCCCCTCTACTTCAATTCTTATTATTTGTATTAGGAACTCTGCAAGTGACTACAGGACATAGGCATGCAGTGCTTCAGAGAATAAAAATATTCTTAGATAGTTACCCAATCTTTTTTCAACACGAGCTTTAGCTACACTGTAGCTGTGCTTCACTTCATTTCCAAAGACGTTGAAGAAGCTATCCATGGTTATGAACCTACTAAAACAAAATCTCAAGTATAAAGGTACCAATACACACATACAGTGATTATTAACAACAAAAATAATTTAGACCAAGTTTAAAAGAATGTTTGGTTGCCCTCTCCCGACTCGGTCTGAAAATATTGGGTGGGTAGGTGAGAATATTATTTTAGTTAAAAAAAAATTCAATTTCACTGTCAATTTTTAAAAAATATATTTTCCAGAGTACATATAAAAAATAATTGCTTCATAGAGGCAAAAAAAAGTTTGGAGTCGGGTCATTTCAGCCAAATGGTCGGGAGAGGGCAACCAAACAATTTTTTAAACATAAGGCTTAAAAAAAAAATAAGTTTGTTTCCTGTAACATTCCCAAAAAATTAAGGGTCGGTAGGTCTGGAATTTTTTTTTTTTTTTTTTTTGCTTATGAATGGTCAAATATCCCCGGACTGAATATACCAGGTATCATGATTACAGTGGACACCCAACATGGCATCCAAAATGGCTTCCTAGCGGCAGAAAACGAACTTCAGAAAGTTGTAGGGGGAAATTGTTGTTACAATAATGATTACTCTTTATATTTAGGGTATATGTAAACTAGGTTGACATATTTTATACCTCAAGTTAAGCTACAAGCAATTTTTTTTTAAATAAATGGAATCAGCTGATTGATCAAATGCAGTTTTGCCATTTGTCAGGAAAAAAAAATCCACCCGGGGATAATTTGAATTGGTTGGTCGGGTTACAGGAAACAAACATAATTTTTTTTTAGGCCTAATGTCAGAACCAGTAACTCGGAATTCACCATCTCCATTTTGGCTTTATCGGGTTAAATTTTAGAAACTTGCAAACCAAATTAATTGTCAAATTCACAAGTTATCAACTGTACAATATCTTTTGTACTTACCACCATTGTTTTTATGGTTCATTTATAAAATATTCAATCCGATGAAAACATTTCATCAGCCTAGCTGTTGCGATTTGTTTTCATTTTGTGAAGTTTAAAATCTTACAAGTCAAGTTCTGTATTAAAATGTGCAATGATGTTTGTTTCCTTTTCATCAATGATAAGTACAAGTTATGATGGTAGTGTTTTGTGTCTTTTTTAAGATTTTCTAGGAATTTTCTAGAACAATTCATAAGATTGTATTCAAAATGAAACTTAGACTTTAAACTATGTTAAATACTTCAGAATTAATTGAAAGTAACTTGGTGTTTCGTTTACAACATGCAGTTTACAATCTTTTATCCTTAAAAAATAGTATTAAGTTCATTTTTTCACGACCAGCTGACAGCTCGAAAGTTGACAGCTAAATACGTCATACTTCGCAAGCTTAATAATTAGTATTCATTACGCATGCAAAAAAAATGGGTAGAAAACGAGGTTCACAATTAAGTTAAGAGATCTTATGTTGTAATAATCTTCATTAGTATTCATTTAAAATACCTGCAATATGCGTTTCTTTTCAAACAAAAATCCTTGACTTCCTTCGCTGCGTACTAATACTGGTAAGTATATTGTGTATTTCAAACCCGACGCATTAAGAGTGTGAAATCCGACGTGGCATTTAATAATTCGACCGAAAAAGGGGGTGCAGTATTTATTAAACTTATTTTAAAAGATTTATTTAGACACCTTGCCGTATTTATATTTCCTGCCTTCAATCATAAACCTCAGACTCCAAAATGGGGAAAATATGAAATTCATGCAATACTGACTATTTCAATTTTGGGCATCAAGCACCTATTTGAAAAAAAGAAATAAACATTTCGGCACGAGCATTTGGCACATTTTTCGCGACACGTGTTTTCTTAATCACAATATGATTTTGTGGTTTTTAGCATCGGACTCGATGTACTCAGACTTCCGAGCCCTTCGTCATCACCATAGTGACGTCATAAAGAAATAAACGAAAGAAAGAAGATGCCAGTGAGGATAGTGCCCAGTGCGGAGCTGAACCTCTTTGACCTTGTATGTATTTGTAAACAAACTATTTAATAATATATGAGTACAAAAATACGTGTTATTGATAAAAGTGTATTGTATTACATGTCAGATTCTTGTGTTTTTGTAACCTTAAAAACTTTTCATACGTTTTCGATCTCTCCCCCTTTTTGTTTGCCTTTCTCCTCATAAGGGTATGTGATTGTGCCACAGTGGATTCGTGATACTTTACTGATTTTAATACAAAAATACCACGAATCAATGGGTACTGCGAATTGGTGATCAACAAACAAACAGGGGAACAAATTTTAAACAAGATGTGGGAAAAAAATGTCAACTCAGTGGCATTTGTCAACTGTAGGGCCACTAAGGCCTAAATGATTTCTTTCATATGTCCTCCCAAGGGGTATTGATGCTATAATGACAAATCTGAAGAAAAAATGAAATAATACTTTACAATAAAAAAATATTATATTTTGTACGTAAGCTTTGCTCAATAAACTTCTCAAAGACCCCCTATGTTTTCAAAGTCATCGACTCCATGCACAAACAGAGGATTAGATTTTTTTCTCATCTCCTTTAACGTAT